CACCTTCCCACCAGCCTGCCTCTTGCCCCTGGCTATATTTAGGACTTTCTACAGTCTTTGCCACCAACCCTTTCTTAGGGTTTGAAGAGAGGCCACATCAGATATCTTTGGAAACCCATGGCAGGAGCGAGCTTTTCTTTAGCCACCTCTTATTTCCATCCTCTATCCTGGGTCTCTCCCACCTCCTCAGGCTTTGGGTTAAAAGGCCAGACTATTAGAACATCATGGGGGTGGTGAGGCCTGGAGGAGGGTGGCTTACCACCCGTTCCAAGAAAAAAAAAATCCATTCTTGATGAAGCCTCCGGGACTCTAGTGATAAACAGTTATTAGTCAATCTTTCATCAGTGGTTCCTGGCCTCTTTATCCCAAACAACCTCTTATTTTTATCCTCCTAAGGTTTTAGCTTCCCTCCAGATAAAACTTCCTTAAGGACTTCTTTCGTAGTTTTTAGGTAGTGAAAGATTCATCTAATATTTCTGATCAGCATGAAATAACCAGTTGCTATACCAAAAGCAAGGAAATTTGATGCTTCATTTACTCTGTAAAATTCCACACATGATTTTAAATTATAATAGGCCAAACGCCATGGCTCATGCCTGTAATCCCAGGACTTTGGGAGGCCGAGGTGGGTGGATCACTTGAGCTCAGGAGTTTGTGACTAGCCTGAGCAACACAGCAAGACCTCATCTCTACAAAAAATGCAAAAATTAGCCAGGCATGGTGGCATGCACCTGTAGTCCAAGGTGATCTGCAGACTGAGGCGGGAAAATAGATCGAGCCCGGGAGGTCTGGGCTACAATTAGCCATGATCATACCACTGCACTCTGGTCTGAGTGGCAGAGTGAGACCCTGTCTCAAAAAAATAAAAATAAAATAAAAATAAATAAATTATTCGGGGTGCGGTGGCTCGTACCTGTAATCCTAGCACTTTGGGAGGCTGAGGCGGGCAGATCACTTGAGGTCAGGAGTTTGAGACCAGCCTGGCCAACATGGCGAAGCCCTGTCTCTACTAAAAATACAAAAATAAAATAAAATGAAATAAAATAAAATAAAATAAGCCTGGTGTGGTGGCAGGTGCCTGTAATCTCAGCTACTCAGGAGGCTGAGGCAGGAGAATTACTTGAACTCAGGAGGCAGAGGTTGCAATGAGCCGAGATCATGCCATTGCACTTCAGCCTGGGTGACAGAGCAAGACTCTGTCTCAAAAAAATAAATAAACAAAAATAAATAAATAAATAAATTATAACAATAGCTTTAGGTTCCCCATTATCATGGAAAAGCCTTTAGAGATCATGCTGTCCAGCTCCTTCATTTTTTAGACAGGAGAACTTACTCAGAGATAGTAAGTAAATGACATAAGGTTTATACAACAAAACTTCCTTGGGCAACCATGCTTTGCTTTTCCTGGGAGAACATTTAGTGTTAGGGTCAGGAAGAGCTATGGGGAGGTGAGGGCAGCCAGATGCAAGGGGAGTAGAGGTCTGGGCTGTGGCTGAGGCTCTCACAGATCCTTCCCCCTCCTGACTTTCCAGGCCTGGTGTGCCCTGCGTCAGCTTTTGGGGAACTGGGCTGCAGACGGCTGATGCTCTAGTACCTAGACCCGCAGCCTTGCTGTCTTCTCCCACCCCAGCTCAAGGACCCAATGACACCCTCTCCTCTGTTGGAGTGGATTTTTCTCCTAAAACCAAAGGAGGCACTCTTCTTCCCCAGTCTGAAGTTTTAGTATTTTTCTATTACAGACCTGCTCTCTGGTCTCTGAATCTGGATTCCCAATCTACCCTGGGTGCCATAGAGTTGGCAGTTACTTTCCTGGGGGAAGAGGGTAGGACTTCAACGTTCTGAAAGTGACAGATTTCCGAGTTCCAGATATGGGCGTTTAGCAAATTTCTCAGTCTCTTTTAACAGGCCCTGCTTTGCAGGTAACGCGGCGCTTCGGGATCCCAGGGCTGAAGAAAATGATGGACTGGTTTGGCTACTACGGAGGCCCCTGCCGCGCCCCCTTGCAGGAGCTGAGCCCCGCTGAGGAGGAGGCACTGCGCATGGATTTCACCAGCAACGGCTGGCTCTGAGGGCCGGCAGCGTCCATGGCTGGCCTGAGCCCATCTCAGCCTCCTGCCTTGCACTTGCAGCCTGAAGCAGAGAGCGCAGGGGGATGAGGGCGGCCGGCGCGGGAAGCCGGTAGAGGCTCCTTTGCCTACTTTAGTCCTCCAGGCAGCCTTTCACAGGCATGCCCACGCACATCTCCTATTCTCATGGCCCCTGACCTCTCCCTTTTGTATCCTAAACTGTCTCTCTGGCCTGAAGACTGGTAAGGAGCAATTTCTCAATTCGTCTCTCTACTGTGGATGCTTTCCTATGCCCTGAGGCACATGAAATCGGAACGGAAGGGCAGAGGTGCAAGTAGGCACAGTCAGGAAGTTTTTCTTTCTTTCTTTCTTTTCTTTTTTTTTTTTTTTTTTTTTTGAGGCAGAGTTTCGCTCTGTTGCCCAGGCTGGAGTGCAATGGTACCATCTCGGCTCACTGCAACCTCTGCCTCCTGGGTTCAAGCAATTCTCCTGCCTCAGCCTCCCGAGTAGTTGGGATTACAGGCGCCTGCCACCACGTCCAGCTAATTTTTGTATTTTTAGTAGAGATGGGGTTTCACCATGTTGGCCAGGCTGGTCTCGAACTCCTGACCTAGGTGATTCAACTGCCTCGGCCTCCCAAAGTGCTGGGATTACAGCCAAGAGCCACTGCACCCAGCCGGGAATTTGTTTTATTGAAGTGGGGACTACTTAGACTTGGGGCTTGAAACCTGAGTCTAGCACAATGCAGCTGGAAGCCAGGGCTACTCCTACAAACCCAAGTTCTGACTCCTTCCAGGGAAGTATCAGCTTGGGAAACTTGATCAGGAAAGTGTCACTGGTCTTTCAAAGAGCCCTCTTTACCCTCCCACCCCCGCCCTCCACACTGCAAGCTGCATTCCAGCCACATGCCCTTTTCTAAATCTATTTTCATTCATCTCCTATTCTGGTCTCTAGCCTGGATTCCAACCATGGAAAGCACGGAGACAGCTCAGTGGCTTGTCAGATTGGTAAATAGTGACACCTGGTGGATAAATGTTACATTCTAGAAGACTATTCTGGCCAGCCTAGGTCTGAAACACTAAGGGGACTTCGCCTGAGTTAGGGCCATCCTCTTGCCTACAGGCACTCTGCTTTTATTATTAAAAATAATCACTTTGTTACTATAATAAAATTTAACAGGTAAAATTTGTGTGGCTATGTACAGACGGACACTCTATTGCTATGCAGATCTTAGGTTTCCTGGCCAGATGTCAAGAACCTTCCTAAAGGCAAGTGAACTCTGATGGTCTGACTTCTCCCAGCTCTAAGAGCGGCCCCAACAATACTGAGCCAGCAGGCATTCACTTACTGGAGGCCTAGGGAAGGGGTAAGAGGCAAAAGAGAGCAACTGAGCTATTTAGAAACACTTAGCACTTTTATTTTACTTTTTTTGAGACGGAGTCTTGCTCTGTCATTCAGGCTGTGTGCAGTGGCACGATCTCGGCTCACTACAACCTCCGCCTCCCAGGTTCAAGCAACTCTTCTGCCTCACCCTCCCAAGTCGCTGGGATTACAGGCGTGCACCACCACGCCCGGCTAATTTTTGTATTTTTAGTAGAGACGGGGTTTCGCCGTGTTGATCAGGCTGGTCTCGAACTCCTGACCTCAGGTGATCCTCCTGCCTCAGCCTCCCAAAGTGCTGGGATTACAGGCGTGAGCCACCGTACCCAGCCAGCATCCTTTTTGATTAAAGTGCTAAGTGTTTAGGGCCAGGCAGCACTTTGAGAGGCCGGGCAGCACTTTGGGAGGTGAAGAGTTTGAGACCAGCCTGACCAACATGGCAAAACCCTGTCTCTACTAAAAATACAAACATTAGCCGGGAGTGATGGCACACTCCTGTAATCCCAGCTACTCGGGAGGCTGAGGCACAAGAATTGCTTGAACCCGGGAGGTGGAGGATGCAGTGAGCTGAGATCATGCCACAGCACTCCAGCCTGGGCCACAAGAGCGAAACTCCATCTCCAAAAGAAAAAAAAAAAAGATGCTTTCTCCAAAAGATTTAACCTTTTTCAGTGGTAATATTTGACTAGTGGCAGAAAAATGGAGATACATTTTTTAAAAAATTACTCATTAAAAAGAAAGTGTAAGGTTAAAAAAAGAGGTAAATAGACACTTGTTTAGGGCAGAGGCTAAAGGAGAGAAAATAAAAGATCTCAATCTTCAACCCAAAACCAGGCTCTGAATGGCACTAAAGCTTGGGGCTTAGTGCCTGGGGTCCTCTCACAGGCAACTTCCAGAGGAGCTGGGCTCAGACGAGAATCAAGTTTAGGACTTGGGGGAATAGTTAAGGCTAGGCAGGCAGGGTAGTGTACTAAGTAAGAGCTCAGCCTCTGGGCTTAAACAGGTCTGGGTTTAAGTTCTGGGATCTGCCCCTTAGTGTCCATGGGACCTTGGAGAAACTGCTTAACTTCCCTGAGCCTCATCTGTAATACAGGGATAATAATAGTACCTTCCTCCAACAAGGATGCATGTAAAAGCGTCAGTGTGGGGGTCATTGTTCCACCACTCTCCCATTGCAGAGAAAGGGAAACTCCGGCAGCAGTTGACCTACCAGAGGTAACGCAGCAGGTGTGGCCATAACTAGTCTCAGGACTTACGCACTCTGATGCTCAGGGTAAGAGGGGTCCAGTAAAGGCAGACGGAGTCAGAAAGACTTGGTTACAAATCCCACCCAGCTGTGCCACCTACTAGTTGTGGCAGCCTGAGATTGTCTGATTCAAGTAAGAAAAAAAAATTCCTATGTCCTCCTCTGTAGAGGCTGAGAAAATTAAATGACTTGATATAGTAAAGTGTGCAGGGTCAGTTCCAAGGGCTAATCTGATTAACTTTTACAAACAGCAAATGGGTTGATATTCATGAAGACGCAGGGCCAGAAAGTCAAGAAAACTAGGTATAGGCAGTTCTGGTGATTTCTTTATTCTTTATAAACACCTTTTTCTACAGTACAATTCAGAGAATAAATAGAGGCACACGGCTATAACTTCCACCACCATCTGCTGTTGAGGAGACATTTAGTGTGAGGCTAGGGGGCTAGAGGTGGGGGACATATTTGGGTACCAGGGTAACGGGAGGCCTCCGTGATAAACTGCAGAGATCCCATCAGTAAGGTCTGACTGCGGCCTGACGGTCAAGGCTCATGATAGAAGAGCTACAGAGAGCCAAATGCTCCTTTAGTTCCCTACAGTCCTAGAGTAGGTCCAGTTCTACCAAAACCCCAGGGGTTTGGGTGAGTCTGATTTATCGGTCCACTGGGAAGAAACTGTGTCAGCCCAAGCCATCCCTATGAATTCAGTTCACTCCATGGTAGGGCCTGAACTGGCCTAAATATTCTACCCTTTTCCCTGGAGTTAGTCACATATACAATTAATAAGATTACTGTTTATGTGAGTTTTTTTCTTGACTGCCCCAAAAAGGGATCCTGTTCCCCATCTAAGGAAGGAGAGAGGCACACACATGGGGATTATCTGCTGTAACTTGGTGAAGGAAGACAGTCTGTCTTCTAAAGGGAGGAGGAAATAGCACTCTTACCGAATCCTTCTCAAGGGCATAGGCAGGAATGAATACCAGTCTGATCAGACCAAGTGAAAGCCTGGAGCTATGATTCTAACTAGCATGAGGAGTAACATACGGAAAAGCTCTGCCAGCCAGGCACAGTGGCTCACACCTGCAATCCTAGCACTCTGGCAGGCCCAGGCAGGAGCATCGCTTGAGCCCAGGAGTTTGAGACAAGCCTGAGCAACATAGCAAGACCTGGCTCATTTTTTTATAATAATAAAATAAAAGGCTGGGCGTGGTGGCTCACGCCTGTAATCCCAGCACTTTGGGAGACCGAGGTGGGTGGATCACAAGGTCAGGAGTTTGAGACCAGCCTGGCCAACATGGTGAAACCCCATCTCTACTTAAGAAAATACAAAAATTAGCCGGGTGTGGTAGCGCACTCCTGTAGTCCCAGCTACTCAGGAGGCTGAGGCAGGGGAATCGCTTGAACCTGGGAGGTGGAGGTTGCAGTGAGACGAGATTGCGCCACTGCACTCTAGCCTGGACGACAGAGTGAGACTCCATCTCAAAATAATAATAATAATAATAATAATAATAAAATTAAAAAAGAAAAGCTCTGGCCTTGACTTTCACAGGGCTGCTCCACTGAGCCACCCCTATCTTTTTCCTGTTTCTCCAGGGTGGCACAGAGCACTGGCCCTAAGGTGGGGTAGAATCACCTGCCCCAAAAGCAGCAGAATGAAGGTTTTGTATCACTTGGCAGAAAATGAAGCAGAAGGGTCACAGCAGGCTGCACTGGGTAACCCGAGGTCTTAGGAACAGAGTATCAACAGTGAGAAGAGGCGGTTCCTCTGTCCTCCAGCACACAAGGGTCAGGGAAAGACAGAACCACCAATGACTGAGCAGCGTCCGCTGGCCAGCATCCTCAGCACTTTTCTGCGGTCCAGTTCTGGAATGGCAGGTGACAGGGCACATACAAGACCTCTGCTCCACTGTCATTGTCAACTCATCTCAGCTCTGGTTCATTTGTTCACCTCGAGTCAACAAGGGGCGCACTGGCTTTACCCAATACTTGTCAGCTGGTGCCCGCCGCGCTGTCAGGCAGTGAGATTTCTGGCTGACTTGGAGGCGCTCTGGGCCCGCTGAACGACGGCAGAACACTTCTCACGCCGCAGCAGCTTGTTGTTCTCAAAGAGACCTTCATTGCGGGGGATTCCATGAGAACCATCGGGGAAAGTCAGCAGGCCTTTGAGGAGGGCAGAGAAAACATGGGAGTAACAATGGCGTTAATGTCTCAAAGGTGAGCTCGATATGTTGAGGCTGAAGAAGAGAAAAACTCGCAGCTCTACTCAGGAGCACTCTATTGGTGAGTTCAATGGATAGGCGTCAGGGATGGCCGCTATGGATTGCTGGACCCCCGCAGGATTAAAACGAAACAGGTATATTTCCACCCATATTATGCCCACCTAAGTCACCCACCCTGCTGGGCTGCAACTTACCAAAACCATCTACTCTGCCGTTTTTAAATTCCCCCTCAAACGTCATGTTGTCGTATCGAATGAAGACTCCGACGCCATTAAACTTGCCCTGGGCAAACTCCCCCTCATACCTGCAGAAACACCAGAAGTTAGCCTTCAGTGGGAAGTTCGCTGTCCAGATTAATGGAGTTGAGCAGCTGCGGATCTCTGTTATTTAATAATGCCAAGGAGCAAGCCGATTCCACCTGTCACATAGCTCCATCTACCCCATCTAGTCCCAGCCAGCAGAGAAGGATCAGAGTATATATGCCATGAAGCCCTGATCTCAACGAAAGAAGATAGGACGGGAATGGGAGTGGGGTGGAAAGTCACTCACTTGGTTGACATTTCAAATTTTAGGTCCACTTAAAAAATAACCAATAAAAAGGACTACTTAGTCCTCATCTGTGTTCTGCAGGGAGTGAGACAAGCTCAGGATTGACCAGATATTTACCAGTGTCCCATTTTTATGTCAGACCCTCCCTTATTTAAGGCTAAGAAAGGAATGACCTCATACCCACCTTGAACCATCTGAGAAGGTCAATACCCCAAAGCCATTAAAGAGCCCATTCTCAAAATGACCCAGGTAGGTGCCACCATCTGCAAACATCAGTTGACCAAAACCATGCCTGCGGCCTGAACAAAGAGAAGGACAGGTGTCAGGTTGGAAGGAGGCAGTTTCAGGGTCCCTTCTTACTCTTCTAGCATCCCTTACCTGCCATCACCCTACCCACAAAGAAAACAAGAGAAGCAGTGACATTAGCAGGGCAGAGGATTATTAGCCAGAGTCAGGCACTGGGAAAACCTGGCTCCTGGGGCCTTCCCATCTTATCACTACAGATTACAGCAGGTCTACCCAAGTATGAATAAGAGAGCACTTAAAAATAACAACAGCTGGCCAGGCGCAGTAGCTCATGCCTGTAGTGCCAGCATTTTGGGAGGCCAAGGTGGGTGGATCATGAGGTCAAGAGATCAAGACAGTCTGGCCACCATGGTGAAACCTCGTCTCTACTAAAAATATAAAAATTAGCTGGGTGCAGTGGCGCGTGCCTGTAGTCCCAGCTAGTCGGCAGGCTGAGGCAGGAGAATCACTTGAACCCGGGAGGCGGAGGTTGCAGTGAGTCGAGATCGGGCTACCGCACTCCAGCCTGGGCAACAAGAGCGAGACTCTGTCTCAAAAAAACAAACAATAGCTGGCTGGGTGCAGTGGCTCACGCCTGTAATTCTAGCACTTTGGGAGGCCGAGGAGGCAGGTGGATCACCTGTGGTCAGGAGTTCAAGACCAGCCTGGCTAACATGGTGAAACCCTGTTTCTATTAAAACAACAAAAAATTAGCTGGGCATGGTGGTGGTGTTGTGCTCCTGTAACCCAGCTACTCAGGAGGCTGAGGCAGGAGAATCCCTTGAACACAGGAGGCGGAGGTTACAGTGGGCCGAGATCATGCCATTGAACTCCAGCTTGGGCAACACGTCTCAAAAAAATAAATAAGTAAATAACAATAGCTAACATCTATATTTATAGTGCCTTTACTATGTGCCAGCCTCTCTTCTTTTTTTTTTTTTTTTTTTTGAGACAGAGTCTCGCTCTGTTACCCAGGCTGGAGTGCAGTGGTGCGATTTTGGCTCACTGCAACCTCCGCCTCCTGGGTTTAAGTGTTTCTCCTGCCTCAGCCTCCCCAGTAGCTGGGATTACAAAGTGTTGGGATTACAGGTGTGAGCCACTGTGCCTGCCCTAAATTACTGAGTCTTGAGAAATTGTACAGGTGTGATGTGACCTTGCCTCCTTCAATCCCACGCCTTTCTTCCTGGTTTTCAAATACCTGGTGTCCCCTCTAATGTGGCCTGTTAGAGGAGAGACTTTCTGAGGCTCTACTGGGTGGGCTGTATCCACCACAAGAACTTCCCTGAATTCTGTTTGAAAGGCATGATTACTCCTGCAACATCTTGCTCTGTTTTCTGGTCAGTTCAGAGAGTAAGCACAGCCCCACTGACGTAACGAAGCTCAAACCAGTGCTGCCAATCAGGCTGTTAGATTTGCCCAGCAGCTTTAAGGTGCTAATGGGGTACTGGTTTTTTTTTCCTCAGAGAGGCAGTGTAGTTAGATGTTGAGGACACTGAGTCAGGCTGCCTGCTGTGTTTGCCTTCTTGTTCTACCACTTAGAGTTCTGTGATCTTGAGTAAGTTACTTAGCTTCTCCTTGCCTCAATTTCCCCATCTGTTAAATGGGAATAATAATAGTATGTGCCTACCTGATAAGGTTGTCATGAGGATTAAATAAGATGATAAATACAAAACGCTTAAAAGAGAGGGTATGGTGGCTGATGCCTGTAATCCCAGCACTTAGGGAGGCCAAGGTGGGCAGATCACCTGAGGTCAGGAGTTGGAGACCAGCCTGGCCAACATGGTGAAACCCATCTTTACTAAAAATACAAAAATTAGCCGGATATGGTGGCAGGTGCCTGTAATCCCAGCTACTCGGGAGGCTGAGGCACGAGAATCGCTTGAACCCGGGAGGCAGAGGTTGCAGTGAGCCGAGATCGCACCATTGCACTCCAGTCTGGGCAACACAGTGAGCAAGACCTCATCTCAAAACAAACAAACAAACAAACAAAAAACCAGAAAGATATAACTCATTCCTGGAGGTTGAATTAAAAATAGCATTTTCGAATTCCTTTATTTAATCCTAAAATGGAATAAAGGAAAGGCAGGCACTATGTGGAATTAAATCCTGGAGTTGAAAATGAAAACCCATAAAGCTGGCTACATTTGCTGATGTATTTGTCCTCCAGCAAATGAAGTGTTCATCATTGGACACTCCCCAGGGGTCCTTCTCACCCTCCTTCCATTCGCCACGATATTCCTCCCCACTGGAGTAGGTGAAGGAACCTTTTGTCAGGGTCATGGTGACAGATTACAGGATAAAAGGACGAAAACTGTAGGAAATAAGCAGAGGAGAACCAGTGTCATGGAATGGCAGGAGGAAAGGACTGCAAAGCAATTTTGTAGATACATTCTAAAGGCCACCAGCCTGGTAAGTGTACGCTGCCTTAGGTGCATTTAACCAAAATACCCATGTCTCCAACAACCACCAGCACCATCAACTCCACCTCTGCCCAGGTGCTCTCATCCTCCTGCTTATCTTAAAAGTTTTCAGCCAGTTCCTATTTTCTATGACCTGGGATGGAAATGGAGGATTAATCTACAAATATTTACTTGATACCTACTACGTGCTCAGTTGATGTATAAAATAGAGTATCTTCCCTTGACGAGTTTATAATCTAGTTAATAAGACTAACAATTGAAACACTGATTTATGCCAGAGATAATGTGATTAAGTGCCAACTTGGATGGCAGAGATTAACAAAGACATGAGATGGCCAGAATTTAAAACAAGCAGACAAGCAGTAGAGAAGGCAAAGAACAATTCCAGAATCAGAAAACACAGGGAACAGGCCAGGGGCAGTGGCTCACGCCTATAATCCCAACACTTTGGGAGGCCGAGGTGGGCGGGATCACCTGAGGTCAGTAGTTTGAGACCAGCCTGGCCAATGTGGTGAGATCCCGTCTCTACTAAAAATGCAAAAATTAGCTGGGCATGGTGGCGGGAGCCTGTAATCCTAGCTACTCAGAAGGTTGAGGCAGGAGAATCACTTAAACCTGAGAGGCGGAGGTTGCAGTGAACCAAGATCACACCACTGTTACTCCAACCTGGGTGATGGAGCAAGACTCTGTCTCAAAAAAAAAAAAAAAAGGAAAACATGGGGAACCAACACTCAATGGGCAAGGAACACTCTAAGGGCAATGTGAACACGAGATGTTCCATTGCAAAATAAGAAGCCTGGTCTCATTACAGTTGAGGGTTTATTTGGGGAGTAATAGGAAATAAGCCTGCGTAGGTACATGTAGCCACAATCTTAAAGTTGAAGACAGGCCTGGTGTAGTGACTCACACCTGTAATCCCAGCACTTTGGGAGGCTGAGGTGGGAGGATCACTTGAGCCCAGGAGTTCAAGATCAGCCTGGGCAACATAGCAAGACCTCATGTCAAAAATGTAAAATTACTGTAATCCCAGCACTTTGAGAGGCCGAGGCGGGAGGATCACAAGGTCAGGAGATCGAGACCATCCTGGCGAACACTGTGAAACCCTGTTTCTACTAAAAATACAAAAAATTAGCCAGGCATGGTGGCGGGCGCCTGTAGTTCCAGTTACTCGGGAGGCTGAGGCAGGAGAATGGTGTGAACCCGGGAGGCAGAGGTTGTAGTGAGCCGAGATCGCGCCACTGCACTCCAGCCTGGGCGACAGATCCAGACTTTGTCTCAAAAAAAAAAAAAAAAAAAAAGTAAAATTAAAAAATAAAAAATAAGCCGGGCGCGGTGGCTCAAGCCTGTAATCCCAGCACTTTGGGAGGCCAAGACGGGCGGATCACAAGGTCAGGAGATCGAGACCATCCTGGCTAACACGGTGAAACCCGTCTCTACTAAAAAATGCAAAAAAAAAAACTAGCCGGGCGAGGTGGCGGGCGCCTGTAGTCCCAGCTACTCGGGAGGCTGAGGCAGGAGAATGGCGTGAACCCAAAAGGCGGAGCTTGCAGTGAGCTGAGATCCGGCCACTGCACTCCAGCCTGGGTGACAGAGTGAGACTCTGTCTCAGAAAAATAAAAAAATAAAAAATAAAAAAAATAAAAAAATAAAAAATAGACTGGGCATGCATGGTAGCTCACACCTGTAATCCCAGTACTTTGGGAGGCTGAGGTGGGCAGATCACGAGGTCAGGAGTTCGAGACCAGCCTGGCTAACATGGTAAAACCTCATCTCTACTAAAAATACAAAAATTGGCCGGGCGCGGTGGCTCAAGCCTGTAATCCCAGCACTTTGGGAGGCCGAGGCGGGTGGATCACGAGGTCAGGAGATCGAGACTATCCTGGCTAACATGGTGAAACCCCGTCTCTACTAAAAATACAAAAAACTAGCCGGGCGTGGTGGCGGGCGCCTGTAGTCCCAGCTACTTGGGAGGCTGAGGCGGGAGAATGGCGTGAACCCGGGAGGCGGAGCTTGCAGTGAGCCGAGATCACGCCACTGCACTCCAGCCTGGGAGACACAGTGAGACTCCGTCTCAAAAAAAAAAAAAAAAAAAAAACCAAAAATTAGCCAGGTATGGTGGCAGGCGCCTGTAATCCCAGCTACTCAGGAGGCTGAGGCAGGAGAATTGCTTGAACCCGGGAGGCAGAGGTTGCAGTGAGCTGAGATCACACCACTGCACTCTAGCCTGGGTGACAAAGCAAGACTCTGTCTCAAAATAAATAAATAAATAAATAAATAAATAAATAAATAAATCTGAAAAGAACCTCAAGGATTTAGTCCAACCTTTCATTTTATAGGAGAAATAGAAGCCCAGAGAGGTAATCAAGTTTGTTGGCAGCCTCCCCTGACTATGCTAGTCCTTTTTCCCTGTATAGCATAGCCTCTGCTTTTAGCTCAGGCTAACTTAAAGAGACCTTTGAAAGCTGGGCGTAAGAGTTTACAGCACATGAGGGAGGAAAAGAGGCGGCCTCTGCAGGTTTGTGAACCAGGATGTAATATGATGAAGGCAGTGTGTAAGGAAAATGAATGTGGTAGCGTGAAGTGGGATGAATTGA